GACTGTGCTCTCCTTTGGTCGTCGACGGGAACTTGCTGCTCAACTTTGGTGCTCGGTGCTCACGTGGATCCGTGCTTTTCGTCACGTGCTGATCGTGGATCCGTGCTTTTCGTCACGTGCTGATCGTGGATCGGTGCTTTTCGTCACGTGCTGATCGTGGATCCGTGCTTTTCGTCACGTTGTCGCGCCCCCACTGCCTCAAGGGTCCGGTGAGATATCCTTCCCCAGACCAAACTCAATGGGTTGGAGGACTGGCAGGCTGTCACGCATAAATTTTGATAGTTATAAAAATAGGGGTTTATTCTGAGGCAGTCACACTTTGTCATACAACCGAGTAGTTAGGGTTATCCCTCCTGCCAGCGGCGACACGGCTTAGAGTGAGGCGTTCGGGTTTATCGCCTGCACCTGACCCCGTATAAAGGATAGACTCAAGGTCAGGAGAGTCCCTATCATTCAGGAGTCCTTTAAGCTGCCTTGAGTGTAACCTGCATAAAATAAGGAGGAAAAATAACAAACATGCATCATAGAGCAATTGACACTGACAAAATGAGAAGACCAGAAACCAGACTCTGCAAGAGTATGATCAGAGATACGAGACTGAAAAGTTGTACACAGAGTATGCAGGGAGCAGCCATTGGAGGGCTGCAGTCACTAGTAAATAATTATGTCGTAATACATCAATAGTGACTGAAAAGAGAGAACCTCAACCAATGATAGTAAGCGGTACCCCCTCGTGAGTGAGTGCTGCCGTCTGGGACTCCTCGTCATTGAGAACTCGCGTGGCTATCGACTCTGGAACCATGTAGCTGATGTCGAGAGACGCTGCTGGATCGATCTTGCAGATGTAGGCCATGCATCTAGCCATCTCCTCGTCTGCGACGCTCCTGAGATAAAGCTCCTCCGCAAGAATGATATCGCCTGAAGCTCCAATCAATATCTCAATATGTCCTCTCCCACCAGAGTAGATGTAGGAAACCTCAAGAAAGCGATCTCCGTAAAGAGGCTTTCGATAAGCCTGCATAGCAAAGTCCGTCCCAACCAAATGACTATAACCATCTCCGAGGTATGGGACCGGACCCTCCCCTCTTGGGGGACCAATAACTGTCTCAGACCTAGGGTCGTCTGACATGTAGGAGTCAATCACCCTCAAGAAGATACTATGCAAGAAGATGTGCGATCCTCCTCAATGTCGCCCTCCGACGTCTCCGCTCACTGGTCTCCAGCGCTCCTGTCGCCGTCCACAAACTCAACTCCTGTGAGTGTCCCAGTCGAAATAATCGCCAAGATCAAGGGCACTCACAGAGCAGGGCTCCAAATCCGACTCATCTGTCTCTGATTTCAGGACACATGTAGTGATTGGGACTCCGGATCTGGTTATCTCTCTCTGAATCCGGTCGTTCTTCCGCCTCTTCTCCTTGCTGCGGGGCTCACTAAGGGGCTTGGGGTTGCATCCATCAAAATTGAAGAGCCCACCCCCAGGTGCTGAAGGTACGCAAGGGAACACCACGTGTAGCCAGTTGTCCCTCCAATAGCTCTCCCTGCAAAATATGTAATCTGCAATCCTGTCGTATGTGGTTCCCTTCACTCCCGTCTCTGCCCCCTTCATCGAGTAGGTGATCACGAGCGTGTGTCTCGAAGTCGAGGACTCACTAGCCCTGATAGTGAAACTCTGATGTCCCACATGTCTGTAGCAGAACCTCTCAATCAATCTACCCCACTTAGGGGTAGTCTCACGACGTCGGGCCAACTTGGATGGAATGCACGCTCTCACTGATGCAGATACTCCCTCAAAGACCTGGCCGGATAGCAATCAGCAACTCAATGTGGACGCCTGTCTGAATGGCCTGACCGAACTGCAACTCGAAATAGGGCCCGCCTGAATCGGCCCGGCTGAACAGCAACTCAATATAAAGCCCGCTTGAATGGGCCTGGCTGAAAAGCAGCTATCTCAGAAGAAGGGGCCCGCCTGAAGGGGCCTGGCTGAAAACGACAACAATCTCAAGTAGGCCCGCCTGAAGGGGCCCGGCTGAACAGCAACGATCTCAAGTAGGCCTGCCTGAAGGGCCCGACTGAGCAGCAACAATCTCAAGTAGGCCCGCCTGAAGGGCGACGCTGAACAGCAACTGATCAGTGAAACATCTCATGCACAGGGACCAGTCATAGATGCTGAATGTACTGGGGCCAGACTAACGCAAATCACCTGTGCAGGGACTGAACTGCCAATGCTCCCCGTGCGAGGGAAAATATCACGTGCATGAGGTGTTGTTGATCAGCACGGAAATAAATCAACGGGAGTGTGAGGGCAAATCATCCCAGCTAGCAATCCTATGCTCGGGAGTACATGGGCTCGCACTCAAACGACAGTATCTAGCCTGGGCGCACGCATATCCAGCGCAAGTGCACATGGGCGCATACTCAAATAACGAAACTCGGCCTGGGCACACACATATCCAACGCAAATGCACATGGGCGCGCGCTCAAATAACTATATCCAGCTTGGGCGCGCACGGGCGTGCACTCTAATTGCTATTCCAGGCTTGGGCACGCATGGGCGCGCACTTTAACTGCAATACCAAGCTTGGGCGCGCATGGGCGCACACTCTCAAGCTTGGGCGCACATGGGGGCGCACTCTAGTTGCAATATCAAGCTTGGGCGCTCATGGGCGCGCACTCTCAAGCTTGGGCGCGCATGGGCGCGCACTCTAGCTGCAATATCAAGCTTGGGCGCTCATGGG